AACTCTTTCTACTCTAATAAATGGATCCTTAAACCTATATGAGTGACAGAATTTTCACACTTACTTTCTAAACTTCATTATACTCCTCCTAAAATGTAGGGTTGAATCCCTAGAACTTGGGCAGATATTTAACAGATATTTTATGAAAGAAGGACAGACCAGTGCAGAATACTGAAAAACATCTATATTTAATATACTATATTTTTTAAATATTGAATTATGGGTTTTAACTATTGAATTGTGTTTTTTTCAGGGTGGGAGCTCCAATCACCAGGCAAGTCCCCCCTGAGCAAGTAGCCTTTTTTGCCTGAGTGAGATAGAAGGTTTGACAAAAGACCATTGTGACACCAAGTACGACCGACATTAATAATCATTTTATAGAAAACTTGAAGATACACAAAATGATTCTTGCTCATTCAAGTTTTTAAAAAAATATTAATAATGAAAATTTGGAGCTTAGATATAAGATTTACTGGCGACAAATACTTCCGGAAAAGACCAGAGATTCCCTGCCAATTGAATCAGCTCAAGACAGACCCTTTCATATTAATGAGACACTTAAATCAGAAAAGCTGACAAACTAAAACCTGCTGCTCCCAACCCAAACAGCAAATACAGAAAATTCCCAACTGAAAAGAACGCTGTGGGATGCCATACTATGATAACAAAGTGGCTGAGTTTACCAATTAAGCTAAAACCCAACCTACAGATTCTAACTAGCAGCACAAGTATAAAGTGGAAGATGGTCAGGAAGAACCAGACAGGAGCAATCAGGGTGTAGCAATCGGGGTGTTGCAACACCTGACCACGCAGCGACCTTAATCACGAATCATGCAAACTCCAGTCATCATGTTCTGTTCTGCCCTCCAAGAGGTGGAAAAGGTAAGGATTATCCTATCTGATCATCTAGAATTATGTTTAACGGTTGAATGACCCTGTTCAATTACTCATCTCTAGTAACAAAATTCTCAACCTTTGCATTTTATGATGCAAATTAATAACAGTACACTCAGCCTGTTAATTTAAGTTAAATAATTAAATAAGGGATATTAACAATATTAATGGATATTTATGAATACTTATTATATTTAAGTGTATTATATGGACCATTTCATTTAATTTTCAAATCACTCATATAAGGTATATACTATTACCTTAATTTTTTTCAATTTTGTAAGGCTTTTTTATTGTCAAATATAACACATATGCAGAAAAGTACATAAAACACATGTACAGATAAATGGATTAGTCTCAGCACCAGGTCAAACAACAGCACATTGTAGGCAGCCTAGAAGCCCCGTTTGTCCTTTCTTAACCACAATCAATTACCTGGAAACCCTATGGGTTTGGGCTTTTTAAAAAATGTTTCTTTATTGTTATTCCCTTAATTTTTAGGGAAACTTATGATTAGCTAATTTCTGTAACTTGCCCATTGAGTAAAATGAAGCTGAGATGCAAACCCATGTTGCCAACATGTGAACTAGTGAGGTTGAGTTCAATACCACACACCTTCCCTTTCAAATATCTTCTAAATAAAAGATAAATGCATGAAGGAGAAAAAGTCAATGCAGAGCCATTGAACGGCTCCTTACAAGTGGGAACAAAGCTTTCAACAAATTTTGATATCCCCACATCCAGTTGACATTATCTACTAGTTAACAGTATTATTCACCAAAACTATAGTCAAGTACATTGTCAAATGCTTTCCTTAAATGAATATATACTTCATTGAACAACATAATCTCTGAGATTCCCTCAAAGTCTCAAATTCTACAACTCAGTATTTATAGCAATCCCAATTTGTCAATGTAATCCTATCAAAAAGAATACATGAGATTAGCTTGGCAAATGTTCAACGTATAGCACTAGAGAGTACATTTCTTTTAAATAAAAATCAAAGTTGTGCAGAGAAATCTTAATCAGACCTCATTAAAACTTATATACATGTACATTATCCAAAGTATCAGTATTTCTAGGTTGCTGTTTTCAACTGTTGTTTATATATTTTTTAAATTAACTTTATTGGGGTGACATTGGTTTATAAGATCATATAGGTTTTATGTGTACATTTCTATGATACAAGATCTGTATATTACATTGTGTGCCCACCACCCAAAGTTAAATCATCTTCTATCACCATACATTTGGACTTCTTTACCCTTTCCTACTCCATCCCCTTCCCTCTGGAAACCACAGGCACTTCTTAGAGAATATAATTTTTACCTCATAATCACTCACACCCAACTGTTGTTTATAGATTCTGATTCTTAATGCAGTGATTCTGAAGCTCACTTGAATGCTTTCTGAAGCTCCTTTGGCAAATTAAAATGAATAATTTTTGTTTTATTACTAGTACGCCATTTGGTATCCTAAACTTACAGTGCAAAGTGGAGCAGAGAAGAAACCGGTGTCTCCTAAAGTCAGCAAATAACAGAGAAGATTCCCTCATGAGTCTAGCCATTTAATGGAGGGAGAGGAGAACCATTTATAGCCTATATAATAAAGGCATAATATGCAAATCGACCTAACGGCAGAACAACCGGTTGCTATGATGTGCACTGACCACCAGGGGGCAGACACTCAACACAGGTGGTCAGTGCGCTCCCACAGGGGAAGTGCTGCTTAGCCAGAAGCCGGGCTCACAGCTGGTGAGTGTAGCAGTGGTGGCGGGAACCTCTCCTGCCTCTGCTGCAGGCAGGCAGTAAGGAGCGAGGGGTCCCGGACTGCAAGAGCCCCTGACTGCAAGAGGGGTGTCTGACTGCCGGCTTAGCCAGCAGGCGGACATCCCCCGAGGGGTCTTGGACTGCAAGAGGGCGAAGGCCGGGCTGAGGGACTTCCTATCATGATATTCTAATGTTTGTTAGGTAAAACTTCTTCCTTAGTGAAATTATTACATGGTATTTATAAGAGTGAATTGGTAACTATCCTTGGACCAACACCACCAACAGTAAATTGATTTATGCTGCCTGGTTTAATAAGAATGTTTCACTTTAAAAACTGGGATCTACAAATTTAAGTAAAAAAAAAAAGAAAAATTTTATTCTACAATAGTCAAAGTAGGATTTAAAAAACATGGTGATATATACATGTACAGTGAGATGTATTCACAGCTATCTTTGAAAAGTAGGGACACTTACAGTGGCCTTATCAAATTCAGCCTCAGATGATGTTGGTGACAGGGGACTTATGGGGCTTAGCGATGGAGAGCTCTCCACACTGGAGACATAGTCAGGATCAGGAACATATAAAACCTGGAAGAAAAGGAAACATTCACCAAACTGAAATATTAACAAGCAGATCATGTTTTATTAGCAAGTACCGTTAATGACCTTTAGCAACAAATAGAATAAAAATCTTCAGATTAAAAGAATGTTTTTACCATAATAATTCTAATAAAATAAGAAAACATATTTAAATTAAATTAAGAAAAGTTTAATAATACGTACATACTATCAGGAATAGGGTGGGGAAACAATAATTGTTATACCCTATGGGAGTTCCTCTTAAAAAACAATTTTGCAGTAGCTAGCAAAATTTTAAATGCACATATTCTTTATTACAGCAATTTTACTTCAAGGACTTTATAGAAATCTCTATATATAAAGAAAAAAAGATATGTACAAGAGTGTTCCCTACAGTGGGCATAGCAAAACAGTAAAAATAGTAGAAAGCTTACACTGTCTAGTTAAAGTATATAAATACAGCGCAACACTCCAGACATAAAAGAATCTGAGATTGTACTGTGCTTATATAAAGTATTTTCCAAAGTCAAAGTCAAATAAAAAAATAAGGTTAGAAGTCCTGTCAAGTGTGACTCAGGGTTTAGAGCACCTGCCTGTGCACCTAAGGGTAGAGGGTTCAATTATAGGTCAAGAGCATGTACCTGAATTGCAGGTTCGATCCAGCCTGGGTGTGGGCACGTTCAGAAGGCAACTAATCGGTGTATCTTTCTCACATAGATCTCTCTCTCTCTCTCCCTCCCTCCCTCCCTCCCCCCCTCCCTCATTCCCTCTCTTCCACTCTCTCTAAAAGTCAATGAGAAAATATCCTTGGGTGAGAATTAACTAACTAACTAAATAAATAAATATTTTTAAAGGGCTAGGATATTTCTGGAAGGGGACACAAATTAGTAACTGTGGTTGCTTCTTTAAAAAGAAACTAGGTATCTGAGTTAGGATAACTTAACCTTTAAAAATGTCTGAATTTTTTTTATCATGTATTGCTTTGGACAAAAGCAATACATGATAAAAAAAAAAAGCTCTTTAAAACTAAATTTAAAAGACAAATCACAATTATTTTCTATATGTAATAAGAAAAAAATCATTTGGACATAAGTGACAGTTAATTTTCTCTTCTGGAGCCAATCTGATTTGTTCAAAGCATGCATAAAATTATCATTCTTAAATTTTCTATATTATTAGCTATGTTGCAATGAATACTTTCTGTCTTGGTACTTAATGCTTCTAAACACAAATGCATAGAAAAAACCTACCTGTCCAGTAACAACTGCTCGGGAGAATAACTTATTTAACTGAACAAGTTCGTTTGGTGTTGTATCAAATTTCAGGGCTATACTATTCAAGGAATCCCTTGATTCAACCTGTTTAAAAGAAAACATACATTATTTTAATCCCTTAAAACAGAAAAACGGAAACTATGAGGTTTAGTGATCATTAATAAGTTTATGGATCAATCTTACATTTGATTAACAAGTGTATTTCCATCTTTGGAGATAGGATAACTTGAAAAATTCAGTTCATTTTAGCAAATGATTTCAACCTATTATATAGAGTATATGCTTTATCATTATAGATCACAATTACATGTGAGCCTCTACTTGAAAAAATTTGAAAATAGATAATATAATTTACTAAACACAAACAAGTGATTTTTACTTTACAAAGACTTTAAAACAATATACTATTTCTTTGCAGGAGCAGCCAATCAATGTTTCACTCTCACATTGATGTTTCTCTCTTTCCATCTCCTCCCTCTCTCTCTAAACAAAACATTATGTGTCTGTGCACATGTGTGTATATATGTATACATATGCATATTTTTAACTTTAAAGCTATCTAAAGTACAAGACAAGTTTATACTATATGTAGGTGATTTGGAAATACATTTAAGCTAGATCATAAATATTTTAGAATAAACACATTTTGAGAGTACATTGTGATATTAAAAATTTTTAAAAACATATAGGGATATATATTTTCCTCAATACAAAAATTATGTTTTAAATTTTATATAAATGTGTTTTATGAATATTTTAAAAATTATAATAAGAATAGATTATAAGACAAAATACCTTAGTTTTAGAATTACACTTGTTCCTTTTATTTAGGATTTGACATATGAAATAAAGGATTAAGAAATTAAAAAAAGACTAACAGACTAATTAATCAAAGACCTGCTAGAGGATGTTTCATAACTTTTCTGGTCAATACTTGATTATATCCCAAAGGTCATTTATAACATTAAGAAAAAAATAATTTCAACTTAAAATTAACCTTCCCTCCAAAATAATGGCTCTTAATTTGAATTTAACTTTGCTACAGATAATACAAGTTTTATTGAATCACCAAAACAAAGAGTGGTAAATTCCTGAATTCAAAATCAACTAAACGTTAACAATTCTGCACAACCACATGGTTACCTGTGTAGATAATATCTTATACTTCATGCCTATAATCTTATGCCTTAATAAACACTAAGGAATATATCAAATTACATTACCCAATATTTTACTATTTGAACTTATTTTCTAAATTTCTCAAGCATACAGAGAAGGTACAAACACACTCAGTTTAAGTTTGTAATATGCTTCAAGAAGAGATTTTTTTTAGATAGTAAATATTCTACGCTAAGTTATCTGGTTCTTAACTTTTTTAAAATACTTAAATTGATGATTTAAGGCAGAGGTTCTCAACCTATGGGTCACGACCCCTTTGGCAGTCGAATGACCCCTCACAGGGTCGCCTAAGACCATCCTGCATATCAGATATTTACATTATGATTCATAACAGTAGCAACATTACAGTTATGAAGTAGCAACGAAAATAATTTTATGGTTGGGTCACAACATGAGGAACTGTATTTAAAGGGCCAGAGGGTTGAGAACCACTGATTTAAGGTTTTGATAATTGGTTCAATTTTAATGATTCATAGAAAAGAGTCAAGATTTAACACTGAGAGGACAAAGAATATTTTAATTAAGACTAATGGAGAGATAAATCAGCTTTTTAAAATGCAAACAACTTACAGTATACTCAATAGTCCCTTTAGGTTTCTGAAAAGACATTCGTCTCCCATCTTTTTTGTCTAGGCTCTTCTTTTGGCCAGTATCTGGAAAAAAAAAAAAAAAGAGGCAAAACCCTATTAAATGTATGTTGCTTTCAGAATAATGTCAAAGATTGCTAAATAGAGCTCAATGGGCTGATATGTATGAGATTCACTAGTAATACAGCTTGTTCCCTGGGATTCTATGCTCTAAAATATAATCAACTGTCAAAAAAAGAAAATGTACTTCCTCCCTGCTTGCTGTAGGAACTGACCAGTATGCAATACAATAATTGGAAATAAATTCAAAACATAAGTAACTATCAGCAGGAAGGAAGTTATAAAAAACTAAAATATGTATCGCTTCCTTCAACACATCTAAACTGATTTGAAGACTTTATATATCTATCTCTCTCTATATATATATCTATATATATAAAAGGCTAATATGCAAAGTGTCCCCTCAGGAGTTCGACCTGGAGAACGGGAGTTTGATCACTCGCTATGTATGACATGCACTGACCACCAGGGGGTGGTGCGGAATGAAGTAAGGCCCCGGCCGGTAGCCAGAAGACCCCAATCGGCCCTGATCACCGGCCAGGCCTAGGGACCCTACCCATGCATGAATTTCATGTACCGGGCCTCAAGTATATATACAGTTAACAAAATCAAGTCTAAAAAATTAGTGCTAAGTATTTGAAAAACTCTTAAACACTGAGACTGAGGGGGGTGGTGGGGAAGATGAAAACTCTCAGATGTAAAAACAGGCAAAAGATATGACCAGAGAACTCATAAGAGGACATAAAAATGGCCCTTAAGCATATAAAAGTGTGTTCAATCTAACACATAATTAGAAAAATACACATTTGAACTACATGAATACCATTTCTCACCTATCAGACTGGTAAAAATTCAAAAGTTTGATTACACTGTTTGGCTATAGAAAAAGGTATTCTTCTTCATTCATGGTGGGAATGCAAAATGGTTGGTATATACTTAAATTTTATTTTCTCATGAGAAAACATTAGAACTATTTTTAAATAGTTTTTTTACTTTATTTTTCCATCACCATCTATCCCCTCTATGTTAAATAAAGTTTTAAATAAAAATTTCTGCTAGCTCATAAACAACAGAGGAAGTAAAAAACACTTTCCACATTTTGCAATTTATAAACTTTTTAAGCAAAGTAAAATACAGATTACTTTTAACTAAAATATTTCCTTCCTTAATTGACTTAGGAGTAACCATCAGTCTACACTTACTTTGCCTAACAGCAGTTCTTCAATCTGTTACCTAATGACTCCAGAGTTCATTAAACCTTTACTCACTCCATAATCGATCAGTGTCCAGAGTGCACCATGCAGC